CGCCCTGACCACCAGCATCGCTCACACATAATGTCGCAAATTATAAAGCACGCCCACAACCCCGGTGGTCTAGTGGTATCCTCGTAATCCGCTAGTCGCAGAGGTCGTGATTTTGAATCCCCATGGGGTGAAAAATTTAACGAACTTTGCGGGTGGAAGCGAAACGTTGCTTAAAAGCTCTCCGGTGTAACAAAGTTCGACGTTTTGCACCGTTGACGAGGGAAAGGGGCGGCTGTACCCTTCTCGCGATAAAAAAAAAATTCAGCACGCACCGCAGGAGGAAGGTGGGGCATGAAAAGAAATAAAAAGAAAGGAAAAGCCCGGGTGTTTAACCCCCTCCTGTGTGATCCTGGATGGATGTAGTTGTACGAAAAAATACACTGAAAAGTGTAGTACTCTACATTCGCTGAGAAGTGTAGTATTAATACACGTTTCACCACGAAAAATGGGGGGACTGTCGCCATAAAATAAATACCAGGTACAATTGTAGGACGAAAAATACACAGTGTTGCATACCACACCGACAACCAACCAGCGGACACCACACCCACGGATGTTTGTTCTCAAATAAGAAGTTCCGCATGGCCAAGGTGTACACAGCAATTGTTGCTGGAGGCACGCACGCGCTCGGTATGCATACTCGTGCGCCTGCTGGAACGCACAAGGGTGCAACACCTGTGTCGATCTCGAGGGAGGTGTGAAGGCTGGTTGCCCGTTTCCTGCCAACGCTCTTCGCGAGAGGACAAGAACATTTATTTCTCGGGGCATCATCCATGAGAGGGAGAAGAACAAACCAAAGCGCAATATGAACCCTTTTTGGAACAACTGCAGAGGCCGACTTGCTCTCTGCTGGGAAGCACACTCCGGCGATGGCAACAAGAACAACTCTTCCCTATGCTTCATATCTCGCCTGCACGCCTCCCAGCGCGGGTCTCAAACTCCAGCAGACTCACGGTGTTGTTGCTTTGTTGCTGCGTGGAATCGAATGTTCCGGCTTTGTCGCAAAAACACTATCCGAGCGGTTCGAAGAGCTTCTCAAAGGAGTTCAGAGGCAGAGCAAAGCGGTTGAAGCCACCGGCTTGGCAGAGACTTCTCCGCCATCAAGCAATCATGAAATCGGCTCCCATACTCACCTCTGTTGGTTGCCAGGGGACGTGGGGATGATAGCTGGGTGCAGTCAGTGGTGCGTGTGGAGGATGAAAGCCCGAGAGACCACAGCGGGGTTCACGCAGCTGCAATTTATGCATACCAGACTCATTCGGCGGAGCTCCATCAAGGGAAGTGAACATCAACAAACACACCGCACCATACACAAGCCTTCCGCTCTGGTCGAGGTGGGCTTCCGGCTACGGGTGGCAGTAGCGTACCATCCACTTCCCGCGGAAAGCTAGAGGTTGAAAACGACCGCGCGGAAGCCATGGCGTCCCGAAGCGGCTACAAGTCTCTTCCGGATTCAGCCGCAGAGGAGGATGCTCGAACCGCCGACGCGGAGCAACAAGTTGCTGCTGCTGGCGCACCCAGGCCAGCAGCACCCGGCAAGGGCGAAGACCCTCCCGTAGTCGGAGGAAAAGGCTCTGGAGGAAGTTCCAGCAGCGGCGGCGGCAGCAGCAAAGCGACGACAACAACGGCGGGGCGAGAGAAAAAGGACCCTGCAGCTTCTTCAGCAGATGGTGGCGGCGGAGAGTTGCCCACAGCGCAGGGCATCTTCGTCGGCGACCCCGTCTCCCAATCCACACCGTACCACGCCGCCCCCCCTGCGCATGCCACCGTGATCACGTCTGCGCCGGCCTCCTACGATCATGTAGCTGCCGCCGCCGCCGCTGCTGCGGGCGACGGTCGGGGCATTGCCGTGCCAAGCGGGGGAGGCGGGCAGCACACGGTGATCGTGATGAACGCGCCGCCGCCGGGGCACCAGTTCGGAGAGTGGGGGAGGCAACCTCAGGCCTTTGTTTGTCGGGCGTGCGGGTTCACGGGCTTGTCACTCACCATGACGGTAAGAGGATCTCATGCTTGTTTTGGGTGGGGTTTAAGAACATGATAACTTTCGGGGACTGCTGCAGGACTGCCGCAGTCCATCATATTCATAGCAGGCTGTACAAATGTCGCTTTCTGCCTGTTTGGGGGGGGACGGCGTAACCGGAACTCAAGACCTCAAACACCAAGAATACACAAGCCATGTTTTTCTTTCCCCTACCCGAAAATGGCTGGGCTGTTCGACCAAAACCTATGCGCACAAGTACACGTCAGCAACGCCATACGCTCGAATTCGGACGTTCTGACGGCCCGCCGGGCGGAGGCAGACCCACCCCCCGCCGGCGTTGGAAGTCTCGGGGGAAACGGCAGGCGGTCTGTCTGTGCAAATGATCGAGAAGAAGAGCTGGATGAATACCTCCCTCACGAGATGCGACACTCACGGGACTCCTAAAAAAATAGACACATTCCCTCCCTCCCGCTACTTGCTCATTGGCGACAAACGAGGGCCAGTGGTGTGTGTCCGACCCGTTATTGTGTGCATTGTTTTGGTCGAATAGACCAACCATTTTCGGGTAGGGGAAAGAAAAGCCGGGTACCCCTCTGGGGGGTGAATAACCAAGATCGGATGCACCCGGTGGAAGACGAAAGACGGCCAAGGTCGGGTAGGAGTGGGCGTCGGCCAATCAGATGGTGTCGTGCGGTCGCTCCCAGCAGCGTCTTGTAGGGGTACCCAATAATGGCCGTGTTCTGACCGGGTGAACCCGATTTTGGCCACTGCTCCTATTAATACAACCCTGCGTCGCCGCGGGTGCTCCCACCACGTTCGACCGACTTTCAAAATCTGCCCTTTTATTAAAGGATTGGACGGGCAGCAGCAGTCGTGCTTAAAATATATGTCCGTGAACGCGTCGGTTGCTGCGCGCCCCAAGGCCCCACCTGGAGAATGTTGTGTGTACGGTTTTCGGAGACGGCTTTTCGCGTGAATGGGGTCGTTGGGAATCACCACTCGTGCCAATTGCCGGTGCACAACTTTTGTGCCACCAGCATCTGCTTGGCCTAGAGGATTCCCCCGGAGGTTGGGTTCCGGTGCAGCGGCAGCAAAGGCCAGCTGAAGATGACTACACCACAGGAGAAAAAGAGGCAGTTTTGCGACAAGCGACTTTGGCGTGTACCAGGGCTGGTCACCCCAAGGGGTTCGGTTGTTATTAGCTTCAGCACCTCTTCAGTAGTGAGTTCACATCTCGGCACAACCAATAAGTTACCAACTGGGTGTATGCGGCGGCTCGCACTTTTGAAGAGCCCCTTCGGATGCTTTCCACGGAGGCTGGCTTGGGTACGTGCGTGTCTCCTCGTGTTCCTTTTCGGGGACCTTTTTTTGACGCGATACGTTCGTACTTCCTTGGCACACGACCGACACACTCCGGATACATAACTCCCGTGTGTGCATGTTACAGCGATCGCTTGCACGACAACGACCTTAAGTCTTACTTTTCATCTCTTGTCGTTTCTGGGTTGCCGACAGGATCCTTGCTCCAATATACCAATCCTGGCCGCGGCGTGCTGCTGCCTCGTGGGATGCTGGCCCTGCAGCTTCGTGCCGTTCCTGATTCCGGAGCTCCGAGATACGGTGCACCGGTGCCCGAATTGTCACGTATCCGTTGGCCGATCTCGACAATTCGATTGATCGAAAACGAGTGTTTGTAGTGTTGCCTTCTTTTGGTTCTCTTGTAGTTTTGATGGAAAGCAAGTGACATAGTTTGAGATTTTGCGCAGTAGTTGTGCTGTGTTGATGTGTTTCTGATTGGATAGGATGTAGAAGCCGTATGTATGTAACGTTGTTTTTTTTTCCTTTTTGTGCCTTTGAAGCGAAAGCAAACTTCGCAGTGTTTTGTATGAGTGTTGTGTGGTGCCAGGTGAATGGCGTCTTGTGTTCCACCACACTGTTGTAGCTAGGCGCATGGGGTATGCTTTGTGGAGGGCCTTGGGGGTATCATGAGTTGAGGGACCATACATTACGTGATGGTCATCCCAGCGATCGACGTTATAGATGAGCGTGATAAACGGGTCCCACCTCGTTCTGTAGGAAAGAATGTGAGACCACGGGGGGTCAATATGACCGGATTCACCGGTGCCTTTTCTCTTGGCTTTGTTGAGCGGGTGATGGTTGTTTTGCCCGTTTCCAAGACGCACGGCGATCATTCATGTCACGCTCCTTTGAGCTCCCATTAAGAGCGCTCTCCTTCGGCATGGCACGTCGCACTGTACGGAAGCGTTAGCGAAGCTCTCGGATATGCCTTGACCGTCCGCTACGCTAGCAGGCTGCCTGCGTGTGTTTCCTTGTGCGTGAGCCTGTGTTTTTTGTTATGTCTATATCGACCGCGCTGTAAGAGATATCAGTTTTAACGGAACATTGAAAACGCTTGGAGTAGAATGGTCAACAGTGTACTTTGGTAGTATCAGTACATGCTGTGCCATCTCTGTCCTTGGTGCTCCCCCTCCCATCCGGCAACTAGATTTTTTGTTTTTTACGTCGGCAGGAAGCCGCGGCTCATACGACAATTACTTGTTGCGCAAGACCTTGTGCACGACCTTCCTGTCAGCTGTCTCAACCTCCGTGTAGAGCTGCGCCACACCCGCCCTACCTCTCTTTGCGTCTCGGCCGTTTCTCGGCCTACAGCAGTGTTACACAACAGTGGCTGAGTGCTTCGGCAGGTAGTCTCGCAACCTTTTGACGTAAAGACGGGGATTCGAGGCTCGGTGCAGTCACACGAACTGGGATGTTTTTCGCACAACATGCTCAAAACACTGGAAAGCGATGATTTCGTGTGTTCGCAACAACTCGACCGTACGTCCGACGAGGAAAAGGTTCGCCTGAATCCTTCTAGCGGTGATCATCAAGGCTGTCCTCGTTACCCAATTTCCATGTCGGGATCATTTCCGGCCAAGCTCTAGGGCTTCAGAGCTAGCTTTCATCTGATCCAACGCGCGCGTGCCATGCCGAACGCAGTTGCCAATGATACATAGCCAGGCAACGTCCGGTCAAGCCGCAACGTCCGTTCAAGTCGTCCATGAGTGGTCTGTGCGCTTCGTTGTCAGTTGCTGTGTCTCTGGCGACATCCTGCAGGCCACAAGCAACACACCAAACCATGAATGAGGATGGAAACGGTCCTTCCGGGCATGAACATAGGCTGTAGAGCAGCGTCGAAGAAAACTCCGCCCCCTCTCTCCCACTCTCCCCCGTATGCCCGGCGGCACACAAACGAACAAGGTGATGAGTGTCGGGGTACAGCAACACTCCAGCCGTGGCCTTGTTGAAAATACGGGCAAACATAAAACAGGGCACTGAACCATGATCCCCAACCCCCACCCCATCAAATTGAACCACTTGCAGAACTATTCCAAGTTCTGCGATGGACATGCATTGGAAATGTTTCCCCAAGAGCACAATCGGCTGTTTACTGCTGTGCCAGCCTATGTGTCGATATCATACGAGAATCTCAACACATGACGCCACACCTGGAGCTGGCAAGTAAAACGTCAAAGACAGTGCCAACTTAGAGAGAAGAGAAAGCGGGGCGCAGCTCTCACCAAGCGGTCGAGCAAACCAGAACCAAAACGTCAATGTTTCCCATTGTTCCCACACGCCGTCAATCAAACCAAGCAGCCAACCAGAAGCAAGAACGAGACAAGCTTCACGCGCCGAACACTCGTTAGCCTGCAGGTGCGTACTCAAGCCTTGAGTCCACACGTTTGGTACCGTTAAAAATGTAGCAGTAACAACACCGGTTCCCATACCACATTCTAGCGCGAGAACGCCATAGCACGTGCTCCGACGCCTTCCCTCGCGACCACGCTTTTCGTCCGTGTGGCAGGCCTCCATCGCCAATACAAACTCCTACTCTTTGTGCCCACACATGCTTTTCGCACGGCGAAGAATCAAATTCGACGGGATGCGTCGAAGGACCGCCGGACAAACATTCGACGGAGACAACCAATCAAAGCGACAAAAAAAAATGCAACAACACTATCATTCCCTCCTGACCCACTGCAGGACTTAGTACATCTCTAGGGTCTTCAGGCGAATTGAAGCGTCGGTACCATGGTTGATATGCCACACGCCCAGATGCCCTGCCTTTTGAGCATGCCCTGCTCTGTGAGCCGAGCCCTTGGCGTCCACGATGTAATTCGCAAGCGTTTCGAAAGGCAAGCAAACAAAAACACCATCCGAAAAATCTACGGCAAGGGGAGAGGCCTAACGAGGGATCATAAGAACCCGAGGACCAAAACTTAGAAGGCCTTCTCTCTCCCTCTCCCTCTCTCCCTCTCTCTCTCTCTCGCTCCCGCCTTAGAGCGTGAAAACGGAAACTCGAATACTTCTAGGCTGAAGGAGCGTAATCGAGCGTCGAAACCATGCTCTGGTACCACGCCCCTACGCCCTGCCTCGCGAGCACGTCCTTGTGCGTGTCCAAGCCCTCGATCGCCCGGATACACCCGAACACGCAGAGGTCGCCGAGGTTCGGTCTGTCCCCTCCAAAGAAGGGCCCGTCGACCTCTCCCAGGGCGTCCGTCCAGTCCTTGATGGCCGAGAAGAGCGCTTCCCGCTCGTCGTCGATGTTGTACTTCTTTTTTATCTTGCCTTGGGCCGCCCACATGGCGGCCGACCCGATCACCTGTCCACGTAAACGATTCATCGCTTGAGGTGTACGTTCGCGGGTCAACAAGGATCACAGGGTAGGGACATATACAGAACGCGCCCGCACTTAAGAACCCATAAGTTGAGAAAAATCGAGCCTAAAAAAATCAAAATATAAGAACCTGCTCACCATTTGTGAGCTTCGTTAAGTATCCCTACCATAAAACCTATATACCGACCATTCGTAGCATGACCCTAGGAATACAGTAACAACCCCAGCATCGGCCGAAACTAAAACAGTGGTTCCTAAGTGCGGGCGTGTTCTGTACCTGTTGTCAAGGCTACTTGCAAACGGTACAAACACGACAGTTTGTCAAGACCCATCGACTTAACATATGTTGCACACGGAGGCAACAAAAGTGCGTTCGATGATAGCGCAACCACTCTCGATCTGAGAGAAGGTGGGCCAACACACTGACCTGATTCGATACCTTGTCCATCATGCTGAACGTGTCGACATCGTTTACGTACGAAAACGCCTGCATACAACCAAAGTGCACGTGCAGAAACAGTTTGCCGGTGGATAACGAGCGGCAACGAAACTTATGGAAGAAAAGGTGTGAACGCTTTGTGTGCAGAATGCACCATCAGACAAGGACCTCTTGCTTTAGGCAAAAACCTGGAACGCCATGTTTCTTCTGCGAGGAAACCAACATATAACATATTCTTCTAGGCTTATGCGTAGGCTGGGGTGTTCCGTATTTTCGCGTTGCGGAGGGCTACTCCAGCACCCAAAAACGGCGGGGGAAAATGCGAAATAGCGCGTGTGTTGCCCACATGTTGGCACTCTATCCAACAGGAGGCCGGGGGGATACAACCTTTACGGGGGAATAACCACTTCTCCATGGAACCATTGAACGAGACCTCTCTTCCTGATGTGATACGCGGACATCAGTACTGCTTGCTCGTCCACCCGTCCGTTCCTACGCGTTCGGGAGCCGAGAACTATTGACAACGCCACAGCAAAGCCCGAGTTTCTATCTCTTGCTCTCCCCTCCTGTGCCAAACTCCGTCCTCTCGACGGCGCGTGATCAATGGGCTAACCTTTGAGGTATTCAAAACATGAGTACACCCCCCCCTCTCCTGCCGAGGCAAGACATCTCTCACCTGGTACGATTCCGAGAAATTTCGGGTGAGGTTCGGGAACAGCAACACGGCAAGCTGCTTGTCTGCCCACTCCGCCCACTTCTTGGCGTCCGATGAGCAGAACACAGCATGCTCCTCGTCCGACATCACCTTTGACTCCCGCAGGCGGGCGATAAGCTCATCAATGATGACCGGCGAGTCCTTGAACAGCTCCCCGCCCATGCGAACGATGGGGACTTTCCGGTAGTCTTCCGAGAACTTGATCTCCTTTTTCGTCAGCGGGTTCACCTGGACATATTTTATTTGTTTGTGGTGTGGGGGCGCGCTTCTTTTCAGTGGAAGGGAGGGGGTACTCATGTCAACGCATGCCATAGTCGATAGGCCATTGACCTCGTATCCCTACAATGCCAGGACGGAGTAATATGCCGGGTTTTCGCCGGCCCAGGCTACGTGGGGGGGTTCTGCATTGTGAAAGTGGCATCATGTCTTCAGCGATTCAACCTGATACTGGTCGTTGTTGTTACTCTACGCTGGGTTGGCAACGGGTTCGAGTGTGGGCAGATGGAGGACAGGAAGAGCTCTATCACCAAAAGTTGAACAAAACGTCTTTTCACCCGCTACTCCAAAAACAGCCACGCGTGCAGCAAACTTGTATTTGGCTTTTATCAGCCGGCGCATCCGTACCACAAAGTCCAACGTTGTACGCCATTGCGGGGACGGGCATTTGGTAAAGCATGCTATAAAAAAGGTACTCGGCTCAATTTGTGGCACACACCTAATGCGCACCATGTTAGAGTATTTGCCGCAAAAACGTATTTGATTCTCTTATACGGACGAGATAGATGCATCGCACCAGAGTTTGATAAAATAGCCCTGCGCATTGACAAACCCTGACATACCACGGAAACGGGGGCGTGTTTTTTTCGTTTTTCCCACAGGTGTGTCGAAGGGACCCGAGATTATTAGGCGCGTTCCCCGTGTTCACGACAAGATTTATTCGTATGCATATTGGCTTTCATGTATAAATGCAAGGGGACCTCTGTACCGTTCGGTGTATGCATACATGTTGCATTCCAGCCAAGCAAGTCGCTTGTTCAGGAAGGTGTGAATGTGTTATTGATTTGTGAGCGTTCTGGAAACCACGAGCTGAACTGACGGAACCGTGGGTGATCAGTTTTGAACCACTTCAACCAGAACTCGTCATCTTGTACGAGCAGTACAAGGCAGCACGAAGCAAATCATTCGATAACAACGGCACCGAGGGTATGACTCTCGGTGTTCGGTAGAAACAGGGCGCAAAAACACGTGGCGAGCTGCTGTTGTTTTGCGGAGCTCGCAACATCATCACTCGGGTCGGTCCCCGCCCAGCACAGGCCTTACCATTTTGCAGAGTTTGTGTTTTGCGGCCGAAAGCCTTGACTTTACCTCCGTGACAGAGTACGGGATGCCCAGAAAGTCCATCACCACCTTGAGCTTGTTGCAGAACGGGCATATCTTGTACTGATACACCGTAATGTCCTCCCCCTCCAAGTGCCTGATGTTGCCGTCTGCCCCTGCGGTTGCTGCTGTGGTTGACGCAGTCATCGCGGAGCAAGACGGGATCGCCCCCGCCGCCATTTGCCTGTGGATGGCTACTGTTGAAACGCAAAGCCCGGCACCACCGACTGCACGGTGGCATGGTAGTGGGGAATGTCAGTGAACGGTGGGGATAAAGGGTTCTTTGCAAGTCCTAGCGTCCTAGCTGATGCTGCTGTCCGTTGAGATCAGACTGCAAGTAATGCATCAGGTGTGCACATGGCGCACACGATCGATTGGCATCTCCCATTCCCACTCTGTCTACCTGACTTAGGGGCGAAAGCTTACCAGCACCGAGCACATGTCGCTGCGAGACGGCCACTCGCCCCGATGCTCGCAGTAGTCGGTGAAGCGCCTGCATGGCGGCTGTCTCATGTGTTTGTGCCCGACCGAAGAGCCGACCAAAGGAGTGCACAGGGGAGGGAGGAGGGATGGGGGGAGAGGGGGTTTGCAGTTCAATTTCACGAGGCGTTGTTGTTGATGTTGCTGGTTCGCGAGTTGAACCCATACTGTTCGGGATGAAAATGCGGCTCCACCACCCAGCTGGCCTCCACCATCAGCTGTCCTGGCCCTGATACAGGCAGCGGATATACACACGCCTTCGGCCTGCCGCTGCTACCTATGCGCACAGCTCTGCTCGCCTTTCTCGCGAGGCTGTGCTTGTCTTTCGCGTCAACCCCTTTCGCTTTAGCCAGCAAGCGCGGTAGAGGCCATTCCGCAGCTGCCGAAGTCCTATCACCAGGCAGCAGATCGTCAAGCACCTCAGCTGGAGCAGATTCATCTCGGGGTCAGGGGCAACCAGAGATGGCATCGACAGCTCTGGACTTCAGGGAGATGATGCGCAAGGAGCGGGAGCTTGCGATGAAAAAGCTTGCAGCGACTACCAGCTCGCCCAAAGCAAGGTACCATCGCAATATTCGTCTTACAGCAGTAGTTAGCGCCGCGCCAGTAGAACCGCATGCGCGCAGTACTTGACGACGCCTGTTGATCGAAGCAGGACGTCTGCTGCAGCAACAATTCCACCATGACAGTGAAGCATCTGCAACGAAACATAGAGAAATTGTGCCGTCGAGAGTTCCTGTTGCTTCCAACACACCAGCAGTTCTGTACAAGTGCATCGTCGTGCTCAGGGACGGACACGTGGCATTGAACCCCGCCGTTTGGTAAATACTGTATCCTGCCCCCGCCGGGCCGTACTTTTGTCCCCACCGGTGAATCCGGTGAAAAATATGTTCAAAATTTCCTGTTGCGTGGACTCCCGATTCCACGCCTCACATATACAGGTACATGTCGAAGCGGCGGACTCGGCTCGACCTCAGGCGCAACCATCGCGTTTCTGCGGAAGGAACAGAACGAGGAATCGACGGCATCTTCTACATCCCCGGCTTTGTCACCGAGGAGGAAGGCAGGGGATTGGAAAGAGCGGCTCGCAGTGGCGATGGTGGTAGTGGCGGCGGCGGTGGCGGAGGAGAGTGGAAAGACCTTTACAAGCGGCGCTTACAGATTCACGGGGGCACGCCGCATCCATCCGGAATGGTCGAAGAGGAGCTGCCGGCTTTTCTACAAGAAGGTGAGCATCAGACGGGTCCGAAAAAACTTGAAGAACCTCGGAGCATAAAACTCTCTTTGAAGCCGTGGGACTCGGAGCTTGTTTGAGTCATGTGGAGACTTCCTCCGCAAAGACAGATATTTTTTAAGGGTTGTATGCATACGTTAGGGGATACAATGCATGCCTCTCTCGGCAGGGGTCCGGCGGAAAATAAGTCTTACACGACTGATCCTGTAGGCAACACTGGTGTTGTAAGGCATGGCAACATATATGTTTTCACTTTTTTAGATGGCCTTTGTTTTTTTCACCCCCTCGCCGCGCGCTCAATCCTTACCCCCACACACATACACCACCCTCGCCGGTCTGCCACCATTCCATTTTCTCTATTCCCACCTCCCAGTCTGCGACGCCTTGGTTGAGGCTGGAGTTTTTCCGGAGAGCTCTCCGCCCAACCATGTGCTCCTGAATGAATACAGCGACGGACAGGGGATAGGTACGCCATGTACCGATTGGGAGTGTCGTTGAATTCATTTCTTCGTCCATGTTCGCCTCTGATGTTCCTCGTAGAGAAACTGAACCCTTAGCTGAGGTACATTTGTCCTGTTTATGGTATGCCAGCTCCAAGTACCACGGTAGACGTCGGATCACGGTACCTCTGCCAAGCCTTTTCCGTATGTTGGTTCACGGTGTTCAAATATGTTGAATAGCCCCCCCTCGCATCCTTTTGTCACGACATGCCGGGACCGGAATAGGACCATCATCCGTTCAACAGCCCGTCTCCATTCGGTCCGCAGGAGGGTTAAACACTTAACCCTGTACTCGAGTTGGACACAAATGCATAGCACCAGGTTAGGATCTTCGGCCACAGTGTGCTGTCCCTCGTCCGTGTCCTCGCTTGCCTAGCGCACCCCCTGTTCTGCCTGACGTCTGTGACCCTCCACACACCCGGAAGGTCCTCACAAGGATGGTCCGCTGTACGAAGGGCGGGTGGCAATCCTGTCCCTCGGAAAGGAGGCGTTCTTGGACTTCTGGGGGTCGCTCGAAGATGCCAAGGCAGACTGCGCCGACATTGCCGCCGGAGCCACTAGTGGTTGTGCCTTACGCGCCGGTCCTGTTTCGGGGCTGGCGGCGGGGAAAGCTTTCACCAGCAGCTCTGAAGACAACAGCGTATTCATCGATGAAAGTGTGACTGATGATGCTGACGGCCGTGCCCACCAGGGACGGCGGGCGGCGAGAAAAGCGCTGGTGTCCGTGAAGTGCGAGGACTGCAGCCTAGTCGTGTTCGAGGGGAAGGCTTACCATGAGGCTTGGCACGGCATCGCGTCTACCGCCGGAAACAGTGCGACGATGGCAACAACGGAAGCAGCGCCACCTGCAAGAACGGAGGCGGAGGTAGCGACAAGTGGTAACATTAGTACCATAGACGAACGTGTTGCTGCTCCCCAGGGCGCAGATGAAGTAGAATCGAGCTTTAGCGGCACTGTGAAAGGCAGCGATCGTGGAGGGGAAGCAGAAACGGCCCAGAAACGGTTGAGTTTCACGATACGGAGGGTGGCCCGCGTGGTACCGGCCGACTCGGTGATGGAGCACTCGGAGGCGCGGAGCGAGATGGAGAGGAGACGCCGCGGGTTCGAGCGCTCTGTTACGGAGACGGGTGGTGACGCTGGGACATCCACTGCTGCTGCTGCTGCTGCCGGCAAGGGTTAGAACGCGTTGGGCCTAGCCAGCTACTGCTGCAGCTGCGGCTGCTGTGTCGCGTTTCGGCTGCCTTCTGGCCACAGATAAATGCTGGTCATGGGACCAAGGTAGAGTTTCCTGCCAGGGCTAACTGCTGTTGGCTAGTTGGTTCCGGATCGACTACCACGGTGCTGCGGTTCCCGCGAAAGGCTAGGTGTAAGGTTGATAGCTTGCCATGTGCCACGGCTGCCCACCCAATAGTACTTGATTTAGAGGCCATTTGTTTCTTGGTACGATATGGCGTCACGAACGGATACAAAGGTATTGCTGTGTACTGCTGAATACTGAAATCCTCTCGGTACGACGCGGCGCCACGAACGGATAGGTACTACTGCTTGTTTTTTACTGCTGGTGCATGCAGCAGCACCAGCGGTGATTTGAGCAGGAAATATATACCGGTGTGTGTGTAGAGAAAGCGAACGAGACAGAGAGAGGGACAGAGGCGGTGCTGCCATGAGATCCGTGCTTGTGATGAACTATACAGATGTTGTCACCGCCCAGACGCAACGGCGTGTTGTCCGTGGGGATTTCGGGAGCTAGTACGACTGTCTGTTTGTATGGACGAGAAATCACACAGCAGTTACTTCGCACCCCGAAAACCTCATGCGAGCACTCCGTCAACTCTCGTAAGACTTCGCGCCCCCATCTCTACCTGCAGCTCCCCTGCTGCGACAGAGCGGCGCTGAGGAATGAAAGTGTGCTGTAGGATCTCGTGATGTCTTGCGTCCTCAATCAATGTACACACACCCAGGCTGCCAGTACGAACGCGCGTGAGATCCCTCCTCCCCTGCCAGTAGGTACTTATTCGTTCGCGCTCGCGTGCCCCCCTCCCGTTGCTCTGGCACTTAGCATGCCATTATTTTTCAAATATTCTTCTTCCAATAATTTGGAAGTTTCCAATAAAATGGAAGTGAGACCAACTCTTATGGAAAGAAAACAATCCCTGGGATTTGGGTTTGTAGAGCGGACGACAGGACATACCACCACTGCTTATGGTGCTGTTAGGCCATTATTGACGCAAATCCCTGTTTGACTGTACCTTTTCGCAAAAAAGGGACCTGCCCAAATAGATAGTGATTTGATAAGAGTCAGACCCACTTCTTAGCGTTCAGTCGATCCTCTTTTGCTCATTGGGTCATCGACCAACAAAATAACTCTGCAATAGCCTTTGGGTATTTTACGCGTCATACATAGATGCTCCTTCCCACATACGCGACGTACATGCACCTTGTCACCGATTTGGCTTTTTCGATTATGTCTCCGCACAGAGTGAAGCAGTAGCAACTGTGAAATCATCCCTCGCGAGGTTTTTTTATGGTCCGTCTTCTGCGGCTGATAGAGTCCACGGGAGGCACGGCAACTGAGGTGGCGAGAGTCGACAGCTGCGAGCAAAAAATACTTACCCAAACGCTGTTGCTGTTCTTTGTTTCCCGTGTCACAGTTTTGGTGCACCGATGATCCCTCCCTACCCACTGGAGCAACAGCAACGGCAAAGGTATTCGCCACGAACTGTGTGTATGGTTCGTCCTGTGTGGTGGTTGACACAGACCAGGAGGATCCAGGGCGTTCCGAAACTGTCGGTGCTAGAGTCCTAATGTTGTGGACATGCGGAAAAAAAGACTTACCTTGCCTTCAAGCAGCGTTGTTTGCTTTTTTGCTCGTGTCACAAGTTTGGTGCACCGATGATCCCTCCCCACCCACTGGAGCAACAGCAACGGCAAAGGTCTTCCCCACGAACTGTGTGTATGGTTCGTCCTGTGTGGTGGTTGACACAGACCAGGAGGATCCAGGGCGCTCCGAAACTGTTTGTGCTAGAGTCCCAATGTTGTGGACATGCGGAAAGAAAGACTTACCTTGCCTTCAAGCAGCGCTTTTTTGCTCGTGTCACAAGTTTGGTGCACTGATGATCCCTCCCCACCCACTGGAGCAACGGCAACGACAAAGATATCCGCTACGAGGTGTGTATGGCTCCCCTGGCGTCGTGGTTGATATAGACCAGGCTCATAGATTCCCAGAAGTTGGGTCCGCAAAAGTCCAGAGCACACCAAAAAAGCCCCACCGCGGCTGGTTCCAGCTCGCTTTCGGCTCGTTTGCCCCACACATGGGGTTGGTATCCACCTGGTCCAGCCGAATGGAAAAAACAACGGCTACGCCAATGCTACCGACTCTTTGCCAGCCACATAACGCAACTCGTGTGACCATCGTTAGAGTTTGCGGGGATCAACCGTCGAGAGTCAGGGTTGTATATGGGAGAGTCATGGGGCTGTGAAGGAAAAGGACAACATCAAGGGACAGACCAATCCCGTCTGAAAGTTGGCCAGAAAAGGACGGGACAGGACGGGGCTGTCCGAAAGGATCGTCTCTTTTTGGACGGTCAAAAAAGGCCAAAAAATGTTGCACGTATGCATGACTACGAAGAAGTGGTACTTTGGTTAGCTGCTCCTCCCACAGGGAAGGGGAGGTATCGAGATATCGCCGTGTGCTGCTCGGAAAACCAACCGTAGAAATACAGCAGTATGCATACGCGTACATATAGTAATCGATAGGTTGTTGTGTTTTGTTGGCAGTTGGGTGGGTGTCTTCAGATCAGCAAAGGCGGGAAGCCATAAGCGCAGTGCATACAGCAGTAGTACCATAACACGCAGACCTCTTTTAACACCCATACTGGTTCAACCGACGACGTGGACGCCTACCTTACCTTGGCCCCTAAAACCCCTCAAGTATTTCAGGTTTTTCTCCTGGGTTTTGTATGTTATTTCTCTTCAAAAGCGCTTGTCTCGCAAGCAGAATAATCACGGAGTCGATCGGCAAGTCTTGGCCAGTGTCAATCCTGCGGCTATTGCGCGGTTTTGAGAAAAGGCGAAACCACTGCCCTGCGCGTAAACGCTTCCACGTTGCAGCTCACGGCGTTACAAAACTATTATAATATGCGGCGATCCCGTAGTCAGCTCCTGCAACCGAACTAGGCGTTGCCCTAGTAGATTTACGCAGATTCACGCAACATCGGGATGCAATCCTCCAGTCAGTGCGGAACAAAACTTCAATCGCCGCCGCACACACTTGGTAGCTACCCCGCGTTTGGCCCTCTAACGGCAAGCCCCCCACGCAATAATATTTGCTAGCCCTAGTAGGATAGACGTAAACGCAAGCTGACTAGCATCGTCGGCGTTGCTAGTTCAAGCTGGCTGAAACTCCTGTCATGCATGCAAGACGTGTGAAGACACGACAGGTCAACCGCTACTTCAGGCAGTGGCATTCGGAAAAGGCGCAAAAAAGCGACACTACCGAGCCACTCAAGAGATTTGTAAACAACCGGGCGCCTCAAACTGTCTCATATGGCACTCGAGCCAAGTGAGCTCTCGGCCACACCCGCCCCGCCTGAAGTCTTTTTTTAGTCTCACCATCTCGCGCAGGATGAGTTCGACCTCCTGTTGGAAGTTATGATTCGTTGACGGCACTCTTGTTCAGCCGAGGAGCGGAAATTGGCCCACAGCCGTAGCGGACATAAGCCCACGCAAAGAGACAACGCCGCCTCACCATGACCCCCGACGCCGAGAGGAACCTTGCGGCAAATAATCGAAGGTACCATGGCATCAAAACCATGTCAGCAACTCGAGTGGATGCGCTCAACGTCACGGCAAACTACAGACCTACGACAGCACGGTCTCGCCGCCAGTGTCTCCGACACGAGTTTCGGAGGGGCTGCAGTTCGGCATCCACGCTGCCGGAGTAACTAAAACGGGGCACAGGTCAAGGACACGAAGGTTCAACCACTGCCGGGACAAAAAACAAGAAACGATAATTCCTTCGCTTTAGTCCTCCCTCATGCGCCCCTTGCCTCTCTTGTAGGTACACCCAAAAACATCGTGCTACAGAACCATTTGAGGCTGTCGTTGGCAGCGAGCGGAGTCTCGGAGCGCCAGCACAAAAATCATCAAAAAATATGCCTCCTTCCTCTCTCCCTATTTCGACGAAGACGCATTTTGCTTCTTCTCCTTCGCCTCCTTCCCGGCCAGGTGCGACTTCACCCTGTCATAGGCGTCCCGCATGAACCCGCTGATACCGCTTCGAGCGTCCTCGTCGGAGAAGGCTGCACCGTCGGCGCCGCCGCTACTGCTGCTACCGGTAGAGGATTTGGAGTCTGTCCCCTCCGAGGAAGCCTTCGTCTTGGAGCTCCCTCTCCCGGCTAACCTGTCGTCCTCTTCTCGGAGGTCCTCCATCAGCTTGCGCTGCCGATCGCTGAGCTTGCTGTGGCCGTTGTTGTTGTCGTCGTCATCGTTATTTTTAGCGCGCAGAGGCAATACAAAGAAATGAACGTTAGAGACGAAAGACACGGCTCGAGATGAGCAGTCAAACAACCTTTCGGTTCCGGCTGTAACAAAGCTGTGACCGCCTTGAATTTTCTGTTGTGTGCAGCTTTTTGACCCTCGTTTGACGTTAGTGGAATAACAACGCCGTTGTTGTTGTTGTTGTTGTTGTTGTTGTCGAACTTACGCTTGTTCATTCACACGAAACAGCACATGATGCAAATCAACAAACAACGATGGTATGAGTGCATCCATTTCATGTGAATAATTTGCAACCTATTCCACACGCTTCGTGTCCTGTAGCACTTTCGAGTGTACTTCATCCCCGAACCATAAACAGTACCGAAACCCTTCAACCAGAAACCATAAGACTAGCACGACATTGAGCGCAGAAAACAAAAAGGTTGACCCTGTTTGTCGGTTGAACGGGGAAGATAACCAAAACCCCAAGGCTTTAGAGTCACACAATACTTGAAACAAACCAACAACCAAGCCGTCTCCCGCTTGTCGCGAAGTGACATGCACACACGCACCCGTTTCCCATTCAAGAAGAAGTCAACCTTCCGCTCGATGACCACACCTAATGGTTGCTAATGTTTCTCAATGCAGTCTGGTTTTCGTCCTTGTTCGCTTATTTTTTTGTGTTCATCATAAAGGAAGAGAAACGAATAGTCAATCAATGAGCAAGATGGAGATGGCAATTAGCACGAGGCTTCTGCGACACACGCAACCGGCACGCAAAACCCGCGCTCTCCGAGAGCCACAATACAACGCGCTCTCACGTTGGAATCAGGATCCTGAGATGCACGAGCTGGTTGCCTCGCCCGGCACTGGCGCCGGAGCCCGTCAACCGCGGCAGACCTCTCCCCCTCAGCATCAGTACCGCATCCGGCTGTGCCCCCTTCGGGATCGTCACTTCCACCATTCCATCGATGGTCATGATGTCAACCTTGCCACCAAGGACCGCCTGGTGGAGGCGTTTTCGAGAGCAGGGGTGGGGGTGTCGCTTGCTCGCTCTCGTGGAAACGTGTCCTTTGAACGGTACGCCGTTCATAACCTTTGAACAACGCGAGAAGTTCATCATCGGTGGCGCAGACAACAGCAGAAGCAGCAGCAGTAGCAAAAAAGCAACGACAGCAGCAGGAAAAGCAGCTGCAAACAACAGCAGAAATAGCACCACATGCGATACAAAACAAACACAAAGGAGCAACTTTTTGCAACGGATGACGACGGTTACCCCAACAACACCAAACCCTGCGTCACCTGTGTACAAACCAAAGGAACAAGATTCCTCCAAAATTATAAGCCACAAGCCGCCCTTCACCTGAGCGATGCTAACATCGGCCGTCACGTGCAAGTCCGCTCCGGATCTCTCGAAGTACGGGTCAGGTGCCACCTCGAGCTGCACGTAGAGGTCGCCGTTCGGGGCGCCCTTCTCTCCTTCAGCTCCCTCCCCTCGGACGTGGATAGCGATGCCGCTCTCCACTCCCCCGGGAACCTTGACCTTTACGCTCCTGGAATCCATCAGAGTTGTGTGAGTGTCTGAAACATTAGCATCGACCGCGCTAACCTGCTGACTGACCATTGAAAATACATCAGTCTCAGTGCGGTTGACAACACGAAACGCTTATAAGTGCCATTAACTGGGACCCCGTGAGGGGGCAGCATGGGGGAGGCTGAGCAATTCTCCAGATTAAAGACTGTGTGCGTGTATTAATTCGTTCGGCATATATTGACGCCAGCCTACACCTCTCGGTGTATGTCTTTGACCTATATGTATCAGCCGAGGTCACGCAGGAGGAAGGTCACACAAGGGCTTCTTGGGGCTGGGGTGGGGGGGTGTACTCATTGTCGTGCATGCCGTAGTCGTTAGACCATTGACCTCGCATCCCTACAAAGCCGGGACGGAGCACGCCGGGTTCTCACCGGACCAGGCTCTCACATCACCAAGCGCGAAGCGCCGTGAGATATTCGGCGAGTCGCATGAAGGGTGCGCTGCATCCTGCTAAGGGTGTTCGGCATCTTGTGCTTACTTCCTTGCGTACGGATGACAGCTGCGTATGAATTAATTTATTTTCTGGTGCTTTCACTTCCAGAGACAGTTGTTAGCACTGTGTAACTGCCTCGAGGGTGCTTGACCATTTTAACACAACGTGGTGCGATCATCCCCCTTGCGCGGAGTGAGGCTTCTCCACCCCGCACAAAATTATCTACTCGACCACCATTATGGTTACCGCCAAAAAAAAACAAACGATAACCTGGTTGCCGAGTTCAATAGGTGAATTGGCTTGTTTTACAACGTCGTTGCCAAGCGACGAAAACCCAACCTCGATGGCAAACACCGGGCGGGGGGGCTGGGGTGGGAGGGAACAATGACATTTGACGAAACGTTGTTTTATGCACAGCTGTTTACGTCACTGTGTACAAGCAGCTTCCCGCAGCCTTGAGACTTGAAACCGTCATGACAGCACACCCTCAACAAACCGGCGGCTTCCCGCACCCTCCACACATGAAACCGCCATGATACTTGCAGCATCACACCCTCGACAAGAGTTCGACCACAAACCTGGTCTTGCGCCTTCTCTTGCCGCCTTCCACGACGTGATAGGTCACGTCCAGGGATCGAGTTGTCCCAAACGCCTGGAGGCGGACAAAACACAGAACGTAGGGAGAAGCAAAGAGAGAGAGAGATGAAGATGCGAACATCTTGAGAGCAACGGGACACGGGACACACATCACTGTTGTTCGCCCGACTCTACTGACTCACAGCTCACGATCTTAAATAGTCTGGCCCAGAAGAGAACAATCAAGACGACAATAACTTGCGGATCCGTAGGCTACGATGCCGCTTCCATAACCACACCAAGCCACCGAAAACTCATACATCACGCAAAAACACACAGCACAAAGAAACACCAACAACGGTAACAACCACAACCACCAACAACAATCGCAACAACAAAACACAACCTCATCAACAACACAGCCTCATCGACAACACCAACAACGGTAACAACCACAACCTTACCAGCAATGAACACAACATCAAAAACAACAACGCACTGCTTCCAAGAAGGACAGTTTCATCCGCAGCTGCAGATCCTGGCCAGGCCTCGGGCCCCGTGGTCTCCTCTGCCTCCCGCCCATCTGCGCCCCGAACAGCTGCTCGAAGAGGTCTTGGGGGTCGATATCTACGTTGGACTGGAATCCCCCTTGCCGAAAGGGGTCTCCTCGGAAACCCTGTGAAATGGTAAGGAGTTCTTGAAGTTTAGGAGGCCTTGTTACATGCTTAGGGCAATGCTGCCACGTCAAACGCTGTTGCGAGGAGTCCCTTGCGATTTAGGAAACATTCTTGCTTGTTCGGGGCACTGGTGTGACGTGAAATGTTACGAGGAATTCCTTGAGATATAGGAAGCATTCTTACCGTTCGGGGCGCTGCCGCGATGGCGTTTCGGCTGTGCGATGATCGATTCCCTATGGCGGTGCAGTCAACACCGTTCAGCAAACTGAAGCACACAAGAAGATGCTGGCCTTACTGCTCCGCAAAAAGGGGGATGGTTTTTTGGGTGTTTGGTATTGGTATCTCGCTGGTAGGGGCTGGAATGCCTTCCGCGCTAGCAAGAAGGGCCTCCTCCAAAACCCTCTCTCATGTAACGTATGCAGCGCCTACGGGTAAGCCAGCACGACTTGTTGAAAAGCGTTATCATACAGCGACAGCAACAATGTCTACACAACTAGTTGAAAGAGCTCATCGCACCAGCACGAGCACCAGCAGCAACACCAGCAGCAACAACATGTCCAAACAACTATTTTAGCGCGAAGCACCCATGACAGCGCTCACCCCGAAGCCTGCGAACGGGTCACCGCCTCCCCCAGGACCACCGGCTCCGGCGTTGTTGGGATCGACCCCTGCGTGCCCGAACTGGTCATACCGACTTCGCTTGTCCGAGTCACTTAGCACTTCGTAGGCCTGCGCGGGGGGGGCGGAGGGTCAGAGTTGATGATTGGGGGGCGGTAAGGGGCACAAGAATGCGAAGCATTTCGTTTTCTGCCGGATCAATAGTGGCCAAAGCGACCCCATTGGAAGCGCCGCTCGAAAACGCCTCCAATGGGGTTTCCGATGGGCGTAGGGGTTTCGGAAAGGTGTAGGGAAAGAGGGCGGTTGGTAGAGGGCAGCAAAGGACGCTTGTCGGAAAGAAGACGGCGCAAGAGAAAACAGTTACCAATACAGTACAAGGTTTGAGCGACATACCACACGCTAGTAAGATCCGTGTACAACAGGCGCCTCCACACACGCCACTCGGGTCTCTAGCAACACCTCTTGTCTTTGGGAGACGACACCATGAGACGGTGTTGCTACGGACGGCAGGAAGAGAAGGCTTACCTCGGTGACCTCCTGGAACTTGGCTTTAGCGTCGGGGTTGTCCTTGTTCTGATCGGGGTGATATTTCTTGGCCAGCTGGAAGTACTTCTTTTTCAACTGCGAGAGAGGGACAAACGGACAACAGAACACACACACAGAACATACATGAATGTGGAGGGAAACGTCAGATTTACGCCCGAAAACACCAACAACATAACGACGAGGGGGTAGACAGATCGACAACACAGAACAACTGAAATTGAGCGTAACTATGTACAAAAACCATCATCCTCCTGACGCCCATCCCACTAATGTAATACCTGACCGCCGCTACGACCAAAACCTTCACAACAGTTCACCTATGCGTTGGTAGGAAACATCACACAAAAGTGTTCCGTTTCAACTATTAATACGCAAACGCAGCAGATTGCCATGGGTGCTCCTGCGAGGTGTGGGGAAATCCATTTTTTTTTTATTTGCGGTACAGAACGCGCCACCATAGAACCTGAGACTTGAGAAATTCAGGCTGAAGGCAAGAAAACTTGAACTTGGAGAACATGACCTGAAGAACTTGGTATCAGCTAAGGACCCTTGTAACTAAAACCTCGATAGTCGCTGTTGGGTGTCCCCGCAAAAGAGAAAAAAGCGAGAGCCTCAAGCAAGCAAAAGAAACAACAAGTCCTCAAATTTGTGGGGCGCGTTTTGTACGTGTTTCAATGAAATAATGCAACACTCAAAAGAGCGCATCATCACACCTCCGACTTGTCCGCCCCTTTGGCGACCCCCAGCACGTCGTAGAAGTCTCTCTTCTCGGCAGGTCGAGTGGAATGAAACTGCCGAGCGGGGGTACTACGAACGCCTTCGAACAACTTGGGAAAACCGCCGTTGTAGCTGCCGCCCAAGCTCCCCTCGGGTCGCAAGCTTCGCGGTGACGAAAAACAATCGGCATGTACACAAAATCGGGACGAGGCGTTGGGGCGTGGGGGCGTAGTCTTATGTTATGCATGCCTTAGCGGTTAGACCATTGACCACGCGTCCTCGAGAGGACGGAGCATTTTTCTCCCACAAACCGATCACCAGTGGACGAGGCGTGGGGGGTGGTGAACACAGACGTTTCGAGTTGACCGGAAACTGCCACGGAATCGCAATGATCTCCACAAGATGACGAGGGAATTCCATTCCTCCCCTCCTCCCCCCCGGTGTTTACTCCGCCCCCCCGGTGTTTACCATCGGGGTTGCGTTTTCGTCGCTTGGCAACGACGTTGTAAAACAAGCCGCCCACCCCCCTCGGTGTTTGTCATCGGGTTTGTGTTTTCGTCGCTTGGCAACGACGTTGTAAAACAAGCCACCCCTCCCCCCCGGTGTTTACGATCGGGGTTGAGTTTTCGTCGCTTGGCAACGACGTTGAAAATCAAGCCGCCCACCCCCCTCGGTGTTTGCCATCGGGTTTGGGTTTTCGTCCCTTGGCAACGACGTTGTAAAACAAGCCGCCCCTCCCCCCCGGTGTTTACGATCGGGGTTGAGTTTTCGTCGCTTGGCAACGACGTTGTAGAACAAGCCAATTCACTTCGTGAATCCAACAACCAGGTCACCGTTTTTTTTTTTACCTTCGTTTTTTTTTTTGGCGGTANAAAATCAAGCCGCCCACCCCCCTCGGTGTTTGCCATCGGGTTTGGGTTTTCGTCCCTTGGCAACGACGTTGTAAAACAAGCCGCCCCTCCCGGTGTTTGCCATCGGGGTTGGGTTTTCGTCGCTTGGC